ATGTTAATATATGAATTTAGATTTTTTTAGATTTTTTTTTCGATAAAGAATAAGCTCTAGAAATTGAAAATAAAATTTGGTTCCTTGAAGAACCAATAATTATGGTTCTTTATTGAACTTTATCATATATATATATATATATATATATATATATATATATATATATATTGAGAAAGAGAGTGTGTGTGTATGAACCGTTCACAATAAAATTTATTATAAAATTTTTCAATCAAAACACTATAAATTTTGATAAAATTTTTCAATGAAAACATTAAAAACTTGCATATATGCAAAAATTAAGAAGATTTCTTTGAAAAACACAATATGTATTTCTTAAATCCTAATGTGTGCATATATTTCTTGTGTATATATGTATATGTATTGAAGAAAAATTATATACATGTATACAATCCAAAAATAATAATTTTAATTTCTTTTTTCCTAATGATGTAAACATATATGTTATATATGTGTATGTATGTATGGATGAGTGTTTTGTTTTTTTTTAACGGCCATGTTAGTATTTGCCCGGGATTGAACCCAGGACCAGGATATTTTTGTTTTTTATCTTCTTCAACCCAATACCACCTAACAGAAAAAAAAAAAAAAAAAATCAGTACTTTAAAAGGAAAGCAGCAAACATATCAAAATCGGATCCTAATGTTCCCAAATGAACAACAATATGTGCCCAAACGAACCCTAAATACGAACATAGTCCATTGGCTAGTCGAAAGCCAACTCAATTGTGATACAAAGAGATATCGTCACCATGGCAAGCATAGTGGTGTTATAACTTATTATTCGGTAATGATAGTCATTGTTTCAACTCGTTATTGAGCAACTCTATGGTACATTTTTTCTTTTAAAATTTATGGCACCTCTCACTCTTTCATATGGTTTATTAGAGAGATGCAGATGTATACATTCAATGTATAGATATAAAAAAAGAGTTAATGAAAAGAGAGAATGCATGGTTTTATTAGGAGGTGGCGATGCAGAATGGCTCCCACATCAGAAGTGACCGTCTTGGCTCTTTGCAACCCTTTAATGAAGGTAGCAAGCAGTCCGCTTTGTTACCTCTGAGCAGAACCAGGTCCTTGGTTTTTGTTGGTGGGCGGTGTTGGGTGATGAGAGGATCAAAGACACTGGCGACAGTTGGTTTCGCCCTCCAGAAGTACTGGTATGAGTTGAAGGAGGTGGCAGTCGTTGGTGGGGGCAATGGTGGCAGCCCGGTTGCTCGGGGTGGTCGTGGAAGAGATTGCTTAATTTGTGATGCTGATGGTGGGGTTGCAGATGCTTCCTCCTCCTCCACAACTTGTAACTTTTCTAAGTTTGCTGTTCTTGCGTTAAGCTTTCGGGACCATGACGGATTCTCATTGTCTCTTTCGGTGATCCTCTTAGTCGATACCATAGATCTGTGAAGCTTTATCATCCCCTTAGTCAAATTCGGTGGTCTCACTTTCAAGATTCTCATTTCATTATCGGTGAAGTTGCTTTTGATCTCACCTTCATCCTTATCTTCGACGTCAATGTTGTCTACTTGTGGTTTTTCTTCCTCAATTATGCTGAAGATGTCCTGAAGATCTTGTTTGGATGCTTGGTCGTTAGGGTTGTCGATGAGCGTGAGGAGAAAACGACCATCTTGGCGCTGAGCTTCAAAGTAGTTTTGTTGCGGAACCGATACAGCTTCAAGGACTAAACGTCCGTCGACCCGATGAGAATGCATGTGAAGTGACGGCCCGTCGGTATGGGCTGCTGCGAGAGATGAAAGAGGCGGAGGTAGAGAACGAGCTTGCTGGACTTTTTTAGTTGTCAAGCATGTCACATGCTTGACAACTTTTTGTTCCTCCATATCTGTTTCTTTTATCTCGTCTTCTTCTTGGATCTCATGTATCTTATTCTCGTCACCTGTTTCTGAGGATGGATAAGACGAGAACACATCTGATCCAGTCTCAGAGCCCAGACTCTCGGTACAAACCTTAAGACTCTTCTCGCTCAACGAGCTAGCAGACTTCTTAACAAGTGGATGAACATATGGTGGTGGAAGTGATACCGAATCGTCTTGCACCTTTTGCGACATAATCGCCGTCCAAATATCGATCTTACTCGGATTCTTGTTGGCGTTTCCGATCACCTCGCACTCTTCTTCATCCTCTTCGGACGATGAAGAAAAATCGATTGCGATCTGCTCAGATGACGCGATCTTCTTCATAGTGGGAGAGGCCGATAACCCGTTGTCTGACAACCACCGCTTTGAGGACATGTCGGCGGACAAAGTCCGCCGGAGCGACCCAGCCCTGGTGGTCTTCTCGTGGTTGTGGGAACCCTGCAGGATCGACACTATACCTTGCATATGGGTCATGTAATCGACTTAAGATGATCTGAATAGAAGGTGAATTAAAGGTGGATGAACACAAGCACATGCCGATGAAGGGTTGAAGGAGCGGTGGTATTTGAAGGGAAAGGACAATGGAACCGAGTTCATTGGGACCCAACTTTTTGTTCCGTTTCAACTTAATAATTAATTAATTAATTAAATTTGTCGGATAATAATAATATTTTTAATGGTACACAAATGGCATCCTCACACTCTGGACTGGAGTCCATGATTGATAATAATTTAATATCTTTCTATTGTACTCATTCTAGATTTTTTCTATTTATACTATTTCACAATATGTATTTTGTTTATATTTCATTAACCTCTCGATTTTATTCATTTATATAAATATAAATAGTTGTAATATAAAATATATTTGACAAATGACTTTGTATTAGGTATTTAGCTAATATCTTTTAGAAATTTTTTTAGTGAAATTCGGTAAGAAAATGAAATCATCTTTTGATTGAATAACCCAAAAATACTTATTGAATATATGGTAACTAGCTTTAACAAATAAAAAATACATTGAAAAATTACGGCCTTTTTTGTGATTAGTTTATTATAATAAAAAATTAAAAGGTTAAAATTCGAAGCCTTTTATGATATTTTTTTTGTGTACAGAGTATGAATACAAGAGGCTAAAAGGGTGGGACCTATCACAGGCTGTCGAGACACTCAAAGGGAAGTCCCGCGAAACTCAGTGCTGTGTACGTAGGTAAACAAACGACAACGACGTCGTTTTATCCAAAAAAGTATCTGACGTTGATTGCATCGAACCACTTTTATTTATGAAAAACAAATGGCCGCGCGCATAGGCAATCCCAAGTCCCAACTCGAATATAAAATTCAATATATACTATTATGTCATTTAAGATTTATTTTTAACATCAACTCAAATACATCTTTGTTATGAATTTTTTAACGAAAAAGATGTGATACCCATAACTAAGAAGATAACAATTCTAAAAAAATTACAATGTTGGTGAAGATTTCTTACATGTTTATATATAAAACCAACGAAATTTCAATTTTTCATTGCTAATGTATGGCCATATTTTTCGTCTTATTACTTTTTTTAAAAGAGTTTAACAAATAAATAATAATTAAGTAAATAAATGTTAAAATTATTATTTTATGTCAATTTTTTTTATAGAAAAGGACAATAAACTTCAATTGTTTATATATTTAAGATTTTTTAGCCAATTAGTATTTTAATATAAAAATAGAAGAAAGTTTAATATAGATGTAAGGGGTAAATGAGCAACAAGGTGTTCCGCAACCCCTTTTTGGATGATAAAATTAATTCTTTTAAAAACAACATCTATAGATCTTGGGATCATAACATTATTATGCATAACTTTTTGGAATCTATTGAGGAGCTCCATAGCTTCTGGCGCATGGAAACCGAAAGTATCAAATACAAAAGGTATAAACGTGTGTTGATTTTCCATGCACGCTTTATAATATTTTGCCATTTTGCGTGATGCAACTCTTAAAGCAGCTTGCCCCACAGTGAAAACCTCACTCCCCAAGCCCACAAGAGGGGAAACCCATGTTAGATCCACACATGTATTTTTCCCTCCGGCCCATCCAAATATTAAAACATTCAGCTGGCCTAAGCCCAACATTTATTGGTGAGTGCGCTTTTTAGTAAAATTGTCCAAGACATGGAAGTTCACTTCAACATGACGATCAGGCAAAAAGCAATTTTTGAGTATCTAAGGGCCCCACATGCTTAGGATTTTCTTATGATTATTCCTATTGACTGTCTTGGCTAACATATGTCGCTAGTGGAGTATTGTGTCATCCTCAAGTATCTTCTTTTGATCTCTTTATTTTCGATTGATGAGACTTGCCTTGTTTGTCGCAAGGAATGATTGGACTCCTTTGGGGAGCATGCAGTTCATTGTAAAGAGCTCCCGGGTTTCAAGTACCGACACGATCTGGTTAGGGATGTTCTTTTCGATATATTTAGGCACGTTGGGGTTTCTGCCAATAAAGAGGCATCTGTGAACTTTATGATTGACCTATTGGAAGGAAGATCAATACTTAGGCCAGCTATGCAAATTAATAATTTAAAAGGAAAAACTAAAAGGTAAATGATGAAAAGAAAGATTTATATCAATTTGGACATCTATTAAAAAAAAGAAAATAAATAA